GCCACGAGAAGTTAAAAACCCATCGATGTTTGCCATTAGAGTGGGAGTGGCTGGGATGTGCTGCAACCAGACCAAAGCGCTGAATAATTCCCAGGGAGTGATGACAAATCTGATGGCCAGACTGGAGAAACTCTCTGTGTCCTCCCACTGCCATTCACAGGGAGCTGCCCCAGGGGTAGGACACCAGCTGGGGTGAAGGGCTGGCTCCTGGCACTGCTGTGCTGAGTTTGCCAGGACTCTGCCGCAGTGCTGGTGGACCCCATGGCACCAGCAGTGGCAGCTGAGGAGTTAATTCCCAGCCTCACCGCATGGCTCTGGAGCTATTAATACCCACACGCTGCTGATCTGCCAGAGCGAGCGGCGGCTCTGCTGTGAGACCGGTCCTGTGCAGCCACGGCTCCTCGTGCCACAACTTTCCTCCGTGGGCACACGGAGCACCTGCTCACCACGAGCCCTTGCACTGTGACTGCCGTGGTGACGGAGCTGGGGGCACCGGGGCTGTGCCCAGCACCTGGCTGCCACGTGGGTGCCGGAGAGGGGCAGCTGCATCCTTTGGTTTTGGAAGCGTGGTGGGGCTGAGACGGGGCCTCATCCTGCCCCACCGGAGCCCTCAGCCACAGCGATGCCACCCCAGATCCCTGCGTGTGTCCGCTGAACACCGGTGCCGACTGCAAGATGGGTGTCAGGACGGCGTTGGGCACCAGTGCGAGAGGGATGCAGGTCATAGCCTGGCCCAGAGCTGCCTCCTCTTGTGGTGAGCAAACAGCCCCAGAGCTCAGCCTGATGGTGTGAGTCTCCCCAGCACCATGGCACTGGCTGGGTGAGCCCCACCAGCGGTACTGCTGAGGGCGAGGAAGATGCCAACGCAGCTCCTGTGCTGCCCGGCCTGCTGTCCCCCTCGCCCAGGTACAACGGCCACTGGAGCTGAGCAATGGATTCCTTCTGCTTCGTCTGCTTCCAGAAAGAGGAGCTGCAGCCCCTGCACCTCCACAGGTCAGTGCTGCGGGGACGTGGCATGGGGCTGGGTTGGGGATGGTGGCTGATGGAGACCCTCCCGCTGAGCCCAAAGTTTGCATTGGAGCAGATACATCATCTCCTGGACGGAGGGGACTGTGCCTTGGCACTGTGCTGTGCCATGTGCTGTGCCATGTGCTGTGCCATTTGCTATGCCATGATGTGTTGTGCCGTGCCGTGCCATGCCACGTGCTGTGCTGTGCCATGTGCCGTGCCATGCCTTGCCATGCTGAGTGGAAGCAGGGCTGTCGGTTGGGAAGCACCTCCCGCCACATCCCAACAGGTTGCAGCAGCTCAGGAGGAGCAGGACGCAGGTGTGCTTGGCAGCCTGGGGAGCTCTGAGGACAGTGGGATTTGGAACTTGGCACTGCCATGCCCCCTGCACCCATCCCTGTGCACCAGGAAAGTGCTTGGTGTGTCAACTCCTGCTTGGCCATCCCCAGCCTTGGGACAGCCACAGCACCCTGGTGCTCTTCCTCTTGCACCGGCTCACCTGACTGTGGCCCTGCTCCCAGCACTGCAGGACAGTCCCCAAGCAGAGCCACGAGTGCCGACACTTTGCTCTTTCTCTCCCTGCTGCTTTCTGGCTCCACAACCTCCTCTCCCATCCGTGTTGCTGAGTGGCAGCCAAGGCAGCACACAGTGCCTGAATTAGCCGGGCAGCCAGTGAGGATGCGAGGTGTGAATACCGGCACATGCCGTGCCCAGCTGCTCCTCCCCGGCACCGGGCCACCGCCGGCTGCTGTCCTGTGCCACCGTCCCACGTGTCAGGAGCAGGGCTACCAGCAGGGCTGTGCCTTGTCCCCGGTGGGCACAGGCCATCCTGGGCACGTTGTGAGGGGCCTGTCCCTCCTACCAGTACGCTGGAAGGTGTAGGATTTATTTTGGTGTTTCAATCCTGTTCTTGACCTGATGTCATGAGCCCACATGCTGGGATGGTGCAGTGATGCTGGTCACCAGGGCTGGGAGTGGGGATGGGGCTGCTGGATGGAGAGGGGTACAGAGCAGCCCTCGGACCCCCCCAGCTCCCATCCCACAGCTTGACCTGCACTAGGGCTGAGCGGCCGCAGGTAGCCGGCACAGGGAGGTGACATCCCGACATCCCAGCCAGGGCTTAGTGACGGGGCAGTGCGGTGCGCTGGGCTGCTGTGGCCGGGTGGACTCCAGCATCAACTCCGTGCCGTCAGCCCCAAACCGCGGTGCTGGCGACGAGTGCCGGTCCCCTCGCTAGATGGTGCCAGCGGAACGGGCTGCGAGCGGAGGCTCGGTGCCGTGCCGTGCCGTGCCGTGCTCCAGGGCAGCGACTCAGCTGCTGTCTGCAGCCTTACTCCCAGACCAGGGAGAGCAGCGCGATGCCGTGACCCCGCTACACCCCAGATCCCACCTGCCCTGGGAAGACAGCCCTTCTGCTTTGCTTCAGAAGAAGCCGATTCAAAAGAAGACCACCCTGTTCCTTTTCAAATCGATCTCTCTCTCTCATGCCTCAGTCAACACTGTCTCATAGCTGCCTGCAAGCGTCCCCGATGGCCTCATGCCCCCCTCCTCTCCCCAGGAGAGGGAGACAGCGAGCAGAAGGCTGTGCCCCCGCTCAGCTGTTTGGGGTCCATCCCCCCGGTGCTCCTATATCTCCCAGGAGCAGCGATAGGGACTGGGGGCTGCAGGAGGGGGTGCAGCACCCCGATGGCTGCTTGCAGCAGCTCAGTGTGCCCCCGCCACGAAGCAGAACTGCAGCTCATGGTCCATGGCAGCGTGTGCTGCATCCCCTCCTGGACCTTGGGAGCAGCAGCCCTGGGGGGTGGGAGATCACCAGCTCCCCCCGGCCCTGCTCACCCTGGAAGCCCCCCTGGCCAGGTGCCACGTGGGGTTGAGAGGGCACTGACCCCTTTATGTTGTGATGAGGATCCGAGCCACAATAGGATGAGGTCTGGCAGCTCCCAGCAAGGCAGAGCGGGGTTAGGGGCTCAATGGGGCAGAGATGGGGCAGATCTCGCAGGCAGCAAGGAGGCACCGCCGGCACCTCCCCGGGGCGCAGCGCATCCCCAGCTGCTCCCTCTGCTCCCGCTGCGGCTCCCGGCGTGCTCCGCTCCTGCGCGCTGCCTCCCTCCCCGCTGCCTCCCTTCCCTCCCTCCCTTTCCTCCCTCCCGTTCCTTCCCAGCATCCCCGCGCCGGCTCCGGGCAGGTTTCGGCTCATGGCATCGAGGCGTGACAGCTTGCGGAAGCGTTGGTAGCACCTTCGCTTCGGGCTGAGCCACTCCCAACTCCCAGCACTGGGTGATGGCGAGGGGATGAGCGAGCCCTGAATTCAGAGAGGCTGTTAGAAACGTTTTGGGCTTTCTGCTTCTGGTTTGCCAGCGAGAGATGCTCGGGAGCAAACCTCTCCAGGAATAGGGGAGGCATTCATGGCACCTCTACCCACAACTCGGGGACGCATAACCCAGGCTGGTCTCCACTTCATGGTGCACACACAACTCTGACCCCAACGGGGCCCTGCATGTCCCCAGCTCGTCCTTGTCTCGCTGAGCCCCTTGTGCTGCTCTTGGCAACGTGGGAAGCCATTCCTGGAGAGCCGTGATTTGCTTCTTGGGGTCATTTCCCCACTGACTGAGTGCATCCTGGCGCAGGGTGAGATGTTCCCCCGAGCAGCCAGCAGAAATCTCAGGTGCACTTGGATGGTCCGGGATGGTGCTGGGTCACAAACACATTTGAGCCATCTCCTCTCATTTTGCTGATTGTCATTAGTTATTAATATTCTTTAAGTGCTTTGAAGACCACGAGCTTGATGCAAACAGTGGCGGGTGTTATTGTTATTGCTGTTCTTATTCAATCCGTGCGTGACCCACATGCCTGCCACGTGCTGGAGCTCTCTCTGCAGCTGCAAAGCAGCATCTGATGGGAAGGATGGAGCCCCACAGAACCCTACAGAGCCCCATAGGGCCCCACAGAGCCTCAGGGAGCTGACACCTTTCCAGCTGAACACTGCAGGATGTGCCATGTGCTCACCCGAATGTGAAGGGGCTGCAAATGGCATCTCCCTCAGTGCTCCCTGTTCTCTGCTGCCGGTCCCACTTTGTCCCCCGCTGCTCCCAGGGCAGGTGATGCGTCCCGAGGACCCGGCCCCATCCAGGTTCCCCCCAGCGCCGCTCCTTGCACCTGACCTAGAAACAGCCCGCAGCTATAAATAGGGACAGCTGGAGAGATCAGAGGCGCAGCTTCAAACACTGCAGCTGGGGGGTGGTGGCACAGGGAGGGGACAGAGGGGACAGCCCCACTGCGGATGGGTGCGAAGCTGGGGGGGGGGGGGGGGCGATACTGGACCCGCTCCATCCCCGGCGATGGGCGCGGCGTGAGGAAGGTCACGGTGCCTTTCATCCTCGGGTCCCCCCCCGGCCCTTATCCCCACGGGTGGAACCGGTGATGGGGACAGGACGTCGCCGGAGAGGAGCGGGACACGCGGGGGGGGGCGCGGCCGGGATTCGATTCCCCCACGCGTGTCCCGCTCCCCGCGTGGATGGCGAAGGCGGTGCTATGGGCGGAGCGGCTCTGCCCTACCGGGGGGCTACGGGGGGGGGAACCGCCGCCGCCGCCGCCGCCGCCGTCGCTCCTCTCTCCGGTTCCGTTCCTCCCGGGAGCGGCGGGATGAACCCGGCGGAGCGGCCCCGCGCTGGGGGCTGACGGCCGCCATCCGCCACCGAGCCCGGCTCCGTGCTGCCCCCGGTAAGGCTGGGGGGGCGGGGGGGGGAGAGAAGGGAGGAGCGGTGCTCGCCTTTGTGCGGGCGGCGGAGCGGCCCTTTTGTCTGCACGGCGAGGCGGTGGGGAGCGGGTGGCGGTGGGGAAAGCGCCATTTCGGAAGAATCCTGATTAAAATCATCGTCGTCGCCATCAAATCATCCGAGCGCGGGGGGTGAAGGACCACGCGCGACCCCTGGCAGCGAGGGGATGGAGGGGGGGGGGGGGGGGGGGGGGGATTTGGGGACACAGCCCCGCAGAGCCACCCGTTTTGCTGCCACCGCTCTCGGGGTCCCGCAGCCCGCGCCCCGCAGGGCGGACCCCGCCCGGTGCCGCCGCCACCTGCACCGCATCCCCTCCCGGCACTGCCCTGCGGCTGCGGGGCCGAACTCGGGGCCGGGCTCGGGAACGGCGTGGGTAACGGAGTTCGTTCGGAGGAGCGAGGCCGGAGCCGGGGGGCGATGGGTTCCGCCCGTTTGCACGCCGGGGACGCGCCGAGGACACGAGGGAGAACGGGGTTATTGGGAATACGGAGCGATGCGGCGGTGCAGGGCGGTTGGATATGGGGAGAGGATGCGGATGGGGGGCACCGAGAGCCCGGTGTCCCCGTCCGTCCCACAGCTGTCCCCGTATTCGCCGTGTCCCACCGTGCTGCTGTGCGGGGCTGGGGGCTCTGGGGGGAGTCACAGCCTTGGCGCCGTGAGCCGGCAACCTTGCACTCATCCCAGCCCTGCAGCCCAGGTGAGGTCCCTTCTCTGGGCTCTGCACGGTGCACCCAGTCGGTGGGGCTGATGAGGGGCACCAGGAGCCCCAGAGCTGCTTTTGCAGCAAGGTGACAGCCCCGCTGCCCTCCTGGGGCGTAGAGGAATGGGGACACTGGGTAGAAGAGTTTTGGGGAGGGCGATGCCGACAGGCTGATGAAACCAATCAAATGGTGAAGGAATCACAAAGCCGTGGTGCCGGCGGTGGGGCTGGGAGAAAGCAGGAGGAGCCAGAGGTTGGAGGAGTACAGGTTCTACTGGAGACAAGGGCAGGGAATGCAGCCTGAGAGCCTCTGAGGAGCAGCGTGGAGTCACCAGGGCTGGAGGAAGGCATCGTGGGATGGGACAGGGCAGGAGATGGCTCCTTATGCAGGGGATGCTGCTGCTGGGACGGCTGTGCTGGGACAAAGGCCTCACCTGTGAGCCGGGATCCCACAATCTCCTGCTCCATCAGCTCATCCAGAGCTGATCCTGGTTTCAGGGCTGCTGCTGGGCATGGAGCTGGAATGGGAAACTCTGGATCCCTGGGAACGGGGTGACATTGCTCAGGGAAGTGTCACACAGTAGGAAGTCACTGTGACTTCGTGGAGATGTGGGCAATGTGGTGTGAGGTGACGGCCAGCAGCACGCCAGCACTTCCCAGTGCTTTCCAAAATGCTGCAGGCCACTGCTGTGCAGGGTCAGGAGCCCTACTGAGGAGAACAAGGGGACGAGGCAGCGTGGCCCACCCATCATCCCTGGACTAGCTGTGGGTTGTTCCTCCTGGCTTGTGGGATATGGGGCAGCTCCCAAGGTGCCATCTCCCCACACGCGTTTGCTGCTGTAGCATTGCTTGTGCCAGTGTTCCCGTGTCACTTTGCTGTCCCCAGCTGCTGCCCTTGGCCGGCATCTGGTCCAAGTGAAGGGCATGGCTGTGTGGCACAGGGTCTGCAAGCCCCGCATGACAGCACAGAGAAAATGAGGGACCGGAGTGAGGACATCAGCTGGGCTCTGTTTTTTTTCTCCTGGTCACCTTCTGGCTCTGCCCATGGCTCTCACCCTGCTACACCACTGAGCCCAGCACACACACCCCCAGCATCCCCACGCCGCCATCGGCCTCGTTACACAGAGGTGCCCTTGTGGTGTCCCTGGACTCCAGCAATGCCCCAGTGCCCCAGGGAAGCCAGCTAATAATGCAGCTCTGCTGCGCTGCTCCCCACGGCACCGAGGAGCCGCGAGGCGCTGAGATGTTCCCATAATGGGGTCACACGAGAGCGGAGCCGGGAGGCGGCGGAGCTGCCAATGGAGCGGTGCACAGAGAGCCTGTGGCTCGGCCTCGGCTGCAGCCAGCCAGGGTGTGAGCATCGCCGGGGCAGTGCGGGACGTGGGGACGTGGCCAGGTGGGACGGTTGCAGCGGGGCTGGGGCAGGCACAGGTGAGATCTGCTGTCCTTTTGCTTCTGCGTGAGCACAGAGCTGCTGTTTTCTCAGCTCGCCCTTGATGCCGTTGCGGTGCTGTGGGGTGAGGATCCAGATGTGCAGTGGGAATTTGTCCCCGAGCCCTCCCAGATGTGTCCTGTGACAAAGTCACGGTGTTGTGGAGCTCTGGGCTGGCTGCCAGCTCTTCTGCAGCATCCTTCCCCGCAGGCTGGGCTCCGGGAGGTGCCGCACCGGCCGCAGGCTCCTTGTGGGATGCAGGGTGGCAGGATGGGACCCCGTCCTACCCCGGCTGCTGGGTGCTCCCCGTGTCACTGCACCTAGCTGGGCAGCGAGAGCTGATGCTGACGCTCAGTGCTGGGAGGGCCCCATTCTGTGCTCAGTACAGAGGCAGAACCGGGATGCCTGGGGCTCGTCCTGGCCCCGCACATTGTGTGGCCACAGGAAGTCGCTTCCTTGCTTTGTGCCTCAGTTTCCTCCGCCGGGGCGTGGGGATGCCTGCTTGCTGCCGCGTGTTTTTCATTCCTCCCTCTGTGTCCTGCAGAGCCCCCAGCCCTGCTTGGCGTGCTCCTTCCCTCCTCTTCCCAAATCCCCACCACCGCACTCCGCTCCTCCTCTTAAAGGTTTTCCTATCCCAGAGTAGCCGGGGGGGTTATTTTCTCCTTCCCATCTCAATTCCCAAGGAGCCACCTCTCCCCTGCAGCCTCCTCTCCCAGCCCTGTTCTCCTCAATGAGCTCCTGGTTGTTGGCAGAGCTGATGCACCCGGCGGCTGAGCGGCACCGAGTGGCACTGGGGATGGTGGGGACCGGAGAGCTCTGGGGAGCACAGAGACAGCTGCCGCCGGGAGATGAGCGCCTGCCTATAAATACATGCCACGGAGCGAGGAAGCGGTGGGTGGATTATCCTCCTCGCTCAATGAGATAAATGGTTCTCGAGCTTAAACACAGAGCAATTTTAGTCTGAATAGTAGGAGAAATGGTTCAGGACACGCAGATGACGGCGTGAGCCGCCCGCAGCGCACGGTGGGGACCGTTGGCACTGGAGGTGGCTTTGCTGTCCCTTTGGCATCGCTGTGGCTTCGTGTCACAACAGTGCTCACCACAGTGCTGTGCTGCTTCCTCACCAGCACCCGCAACACGGCCAGGACTCGGTCCCACCACCCTCATCTCTGTGAAGAGCCAGATGGAAGTGCATCCTCATCCCTGTCCCCGCCGCTGCCCTGCGTGTTTGCATAGAAACCAGCAGGTTTTCAAAGCATTTCCATTCTTAATGAAAACTTTTGCCTTTCCTTTTTTATTCCTTTTGCCTGGGTGTTGTTGGTGTTCCGGCCGACGTCACTGTTGGCTGTTCCCAGGAATGGTGTTGGCTTCATGTTCCCATCCCAACACCTCTTGGGGAGGACTGTGGCCAAACTGGGAGCGATGCGGGCAGCACCCACGTCCCTGGGGACACCCCGTCCTTGGGGTCAGACTTGTTCTTGAGGACGCCCCATCCTTGGGGTCACTCATCCTTGTGGTCACTCATCCTTTTGGGTCACTCCATCCGTGGGGTCACCCATCCTTGTGGTCACTTATCCTCTTGGTCACCCATCCTTGTGGTCACTTATCCTCTTGGTCACCCATCCTTGTGGTTGCCCATCCTTGGGGACACCCCTGTTCCTAGACACCCATTTCCAATGCCCCTTTCTGCTGCAGGTGTTTCTGCAGCACAAACCCTGAGGCATCCAGGCCCAAGAGTGGGCTCTCAGGGCAGCAGCCCATGGCGTGGTGAGCCGCTGTGCAGCACACACTCTCCCATCTCCCATCCCACTGGCATTTTGTCCTCTTTTTTTTTTTTCTTAAAGAACTTTGCTGGCTTGAATGATTGTCTTTCAACACAGGTTAATTAGCAGACATTGACGAGCAGGATTGTAAATTCAAGTGCAGACAAAGTTCTTCTTGCAGGATGTTGTGAGCTGTTTTTAGTCCCGTATCCATTCCACTCCTGCATTAACCCACCTCCACCTCCAGGAACCAGACACCGAAATGGTGCTCCTCTTCCACGGGGCCAACAAAGCTCTATGGAGATGAGCCACTTTGGAGATTGTATGAGTCAAGCCGTTACATTTTTGGAACAGCATGATGTTGAAGTTCCTTTTCTATTTTTTGCCCAACTTCCCAAGAAAGAAAAAAAAATAATAAAGAACTGAGATGAGAGGCAGCAAGGCCAGAGTGGAAAGAAACAAGGGTGGGGATGGGGCTCAGCTTGGGTGGGTGAGCCGGTCACTGCGCGTCGGGGCTGGGGCTGTGCTTGTGCAGGGGGGTCTTTGTGTGTGTGAGGGTCGTTGCCCTGCTCTCCTCTGGGATTGCCCCCCGATGCCCTTTATCCACCTCCTCTTTGTTGGGTCTGCTCTCTCTGTGCAGCCCCGTGGGGCCATGTGTGGGGCTCAGCCCCGCTCCTGGGACCTGGAGACAACGCTTGGCCCGGGTTCGCTGGGATATATTTTGAGTTATTTGTTGTGGTTTATTTTTCCACATTAAAAATCTAAATATATACCGGCGCCCGCCCAGCTGCTGTCCCATGATTTTTGTCAATCTGCTACAAAACAAAAACGCAGCCACTCCATCCCCTTCCTGCAGCCACCCCTGTGGTGCCTGATGCTCGTGGGCGCGGGGCGAGCCGGCAGCGGGGTGGTTTGGCTGCGTTCCCGTGGTGTTGGTCAGGATGTGGCTCTGGATTTGTGCTTTTGGGGCTCAGAGGGTGGTTTGGCTGCAGCGCAGTGCGGAGTGGGAGCTCAGCTGTGTTTGGTGGGGTCCCGGAGCAGCGGGTTGGAGCCTAGGATTGAGGGAAGGGTGGCACTGAGAGCTGGGAGTGCTGGGTACTCTGGGGCACTGTGTGGGGGAGTCTTAGGTGGCCAGAAGTCGGTGCTGACAGATGGGAAGGCAAAAGTTGATGCCAGCAGGTGTGTGGGAGCAATGAGCTGCGGCGCCGTGGCATTGCAGGTCCCAGGAGCGCTGGGCTCTCCAGAGATGCTCTGTGCGGGCAGAATGGGCTGCAGGACAGGGGCAGGGCCAGTCCCTGCGGGTGGAAGCCGTGACACACCTCTGCCTTGCAGCACAGCCATGAGTGCCGGATCCATAGAGCAGGAGCCGTCGCGCAAGCTGGCGTGCTGCGGGGTGCCGCTCATCACCGAAGACATGCAGTCCTTGGCCATCCGCACCCTCTCGGGCACCGACATCAACAAACACTACGACCTCATCCGCGAGCTCGGCAAGGGCACCTACGGCAAGGTGGACCTGGTGTCCCACAAAAGCACAGGTGAGGGGAGCGGGGGGCAGGCGCGGCTCCTGGGCGTGCGTCGCCATCGGCCGTGCCACGAGCTCAGCCGGCCCTCTGCCCGCTGCAGGCACCAAGATGGCCCTGAAGTTCGTCAACAAGAACAAAACGAAGCTGAAGAACTTCCTGCGGGAGTTCAGCATCACCAACACGCTCTCCTCCAGCCCCTTCATCATCAAGGTCTTCGACGTGGTCTTCGAGACAGAGGACTGCTACGTCTTTGCTCAGGAGTACGCCCCAGGAGGGGACCTCTTCGACATCATCCCCCCGCAGGTGAGAGCTGTTCTGGGTGCTGGGGTGGGGACATGAGGGCTTGGTGTCCCCAGATAAAGCCACTGTGCAGAGGCTTGCAAATTGCTGGTGGCACAAGAAGGGGCCCTGGTGTTTGCACAGCCCCATGTGAAGAGATCACACATCTGTACATGGGCAAAATGGCGACACCTAGGTAGTGTAGCATCTAAAAGCAGGCTTGGGACCCGTTTCTCATCCCCTAGGTGGCCTGGGACCCATAACCTTTCCCATTGGTGGCATGAGATCCACCACTCATCCCTTGGGTATTCTGAGACCCATAACTGATGGCTTGGCCATCCCCCCGATGACATGCAACCTGTCTTCTGGGTGTTCTGGGACCCATAAGTGATGGGTCCCAGATTGACTGAGACCCATCAAACAACCATAGTGTGGTCCAAGACGTATAACTGATAGCCTGGGACCCATAACCCTTTCCATGGGTGGTCTGGTCATCTTCTAAGTGATCTGGGTCCCATAAGTGGTGGCCTGGGACACATCATGTGTCCTCGAGAAGGCATGGAACCCATCAGCTGGCCATGGTGGCTTAGTCCTGCTGCAGTGTATCTCTTCTTAAGTAAAAGGTTCAGGAAGGAGAAGGCAGGGCAGTGAGTGGGAAGGATGCAAAGAGAGACGGGGGGGACACGAGTGGGCTGTTCAGGGGCGGCATGGAGTGACGGTGTCCCACGGCCGCAGGTGGGGCTCCCCGAGGACATGGTGAAGCGTTGCGTGCAGCAGCTGGGCCTGGCGCTGGACTACATGCACAGCAAGAGCCTGGTGCACCGGGACATCAAACCAGAGAACGTGCTGCTCTTCGACCGCGACTGCCGCCGCGTCAAACTGGCCGACTTCGGCATGACCCGCAAGGTGGGCTGTCGGGTGAAGCGCATCAGCGGCACCATCCCCTACACGGCGCCCGAGGTGTGCCAGGCCGGCCGCGCCGAGGGCTTCGCCGTGGACACCAGCATCGACGTCTGGGCTTTCGGGGTGCTCATCTTCTGCGTCCTCACCGGGAACTTCCCCTGGGAGGCGGCGGCCGCCTCCGACACCTTCTTCGAGGAGTTCGTGCGGTGGCAGAAGGGCCGCCTGGCGGGGCTGCCCTCGCAGTGGCGGCGCTTCACGGACAGCGCGCTGCGCATGTTCCAACGCCTGCTGGCCCTCGACCCCGAGAAGCGCTGCCCCGTCAAGGAGGTCTTCTACTTCATCAAGTACGACCTGATGGCCGAGGTGCGCCGCCGGCCCTCCTACCGCTCCCGCAAACACGCCGGGGACAAGCTGCCCGCCGGGCCGCACCGCCACGAGCCCACCGCCTCCTGCACGCCCGCCCCGCTCAAGAGGACCATCCTGACCGACGGCCCCGGCACGCGGCTCAACGGCCCCGAGCCCAGCGCGGCCTCGTCCGGCCCGGCCGGCAGGACAGATGGACGGCAGGACAAGGGCAAGGGGCAGATGGTGCTGGCCACAGCGATAGAGATCTGTGTCTGAGGGCGCGGGGCGGTGCGTGGCCCCGCTCCTGCTGGCACCGTCCCGTCCCTTGGCACAGGGGCTGCGGGTGGCTGCAGGGCCGGGGGCTGCGCCTCCATACACAGAAACAAGAAGAGGACAGAACTGGTTGCGCTCAGTAGCACTGAAGATGCCGGTGCCACCGTCTGCCCAGCAGGCAGGAGCCGGGGGGCACCGGTGCTGCTGTCCCCATCCCAGTGGCCTCCCTGCCCCTCCAGGAGCCCCCCACAGTGCTGTGGGGGGAGGTCCTCCGTGACAACGCGACGGGGCTGTGCGGGGGCCCTGGGAAGGCCGATGACCCCACGCTTGGAGGAGGCCTTCGGGGTGGCCCCTGCCCCACGCTGGGCACCAGGAGGGGACGAGGGGACCGGGATGGAGGGGACCCCCCTGGCCACTCCCTGCCACGATGTAGCAAGTGTCACTGTGTGCCACCCCATCCTCCCTGCTCGGAGCGATGGCCGCAGCGATGCTCTCCAACAGGGGGGGAACAGCCAGGCGGGAGCCACGGGGTCACCCTGAGGACCCCCACGCCGCTGTCCCCTCCGGCCCCCAACTACCGCACAAAGGGCTATCACGCTCCCGAAGCAGCAGCAGTTTACACAGCAGTCGCCAGGCAGGTGGGGTCCCGCCGCCCCTGCGCCCCCACCACCGGCGCCGCTGCCCCGTCCCCATGTCCCCATGTCCCCATGTCCCCATGTCCCCATGTCCCCATGCCCCCGTGTCCCTGTGTCCCTGTGTCCCCGTGTCCCCCCGCCCGCAGGGCCCAGGTCTGGTGGTAGAAGTAGCACTGCACAGATGTAGAGATGTTAGGTGCGGTTCGTCCTCCTTTTTGCCTTAGGTCCCTCCACGTCCCCAATCTTTCGTGCAATAATGTAGATAAGGAACCCCGGTGCCGATGGCCGCGGTGCTGCTCGGTTTCGGGTTTTTATTTCGGGTTCCCCCGGCCATCGGGTGCCGGATTTCCTTCCCGTAGGAGAGGCTGTAGTGTCACAGACGTTACCTCAGTTTGTCACCGTCAAAAAGGAAAAAAAAAAAAACAAACAAAAAAAGTAACTAAATACATTAAAAAAAAAAAAAAAAAAAAGACACAAATATATCGTTCTGAAAGCCCAAAAAAATACCGAGTGGTGGCGGAGACTTTTTTGTAGGGAGAAGTGAAGTGGTGGGCAGTGCTGCTGGGGTCGTGGGGACGATGCCCCGATGGCAGCGCCTCACCGCAGCATGGATTCCAGCCACGTCGGCAAGCTAATTTCAATTTCCTGCTAATTATGCAAATGAATGTGGATTTAATTAAGGGCAGATTTCATTAAAGTCTTCTAGGGGAAATGAGAGCAGGTTGGGGGGAGAGGAGGAGGAGGAGGAGGAGGGGAAGAAGGGATGAAGGCAGCGCACAGCCAGGAGGTGGATGCCTGCAGGGATGCTCGGATGGGGCTGTTGGGGGTTTGGGGCACACGGACAAACTGTGGGGACACAGGGAGTGGGCACGAGCCCTGCACATCCACCAACGTCTGCTGCTTCCAACCCCCTCACATCAGGGCAGGGAAAGCATTTCTCAGCCACGTGATTATTTTATTTTTTTTTTTATCCAGCTAAAAATACAGATTTGGCCGCACCAAAGCTCCGGGAAATCAATGTCACTGTCAGCAGGCTGTGGCTGGAAGGAGCCTCCTGTCCCTGTGCAGATGAGAGGCGAGCTGTGCTGTGACATCTCAGCCCACCTGCTCAGCTGCACTGCTGGTAACTCGGAGCAAAGCAGCCCATTTATCCCCCCCCAAGCCCCAGGACTTCAGGTGCTCTTTGCTCGCTGTGCTGATTTCAGCCCTTCCACCACGTGCTGCTCTGCTCTCCTTCGATCTCATCTTCTCAGCACCTCCATCACCCTGCAGGCACTCACAGCCACCCCATCACCCCCAACCCCCCTGGGACCCAGACTTCCCTGGGGCTGTGCTGCGTGCCCTGGCACCGCTGCATCCCTCAAAGCAGCGTCCCCAAATTGTGATGTCCCCAAAGCACAGCATCCCCCAAAGTGCAGCATCCACCAACCGTGCCTGAGCCGCTCGTTCGGAGCAAAGCCAACCAACCCCAACCAGCCCTTCACGAGGCAATACTGTGCCACCACCAAATGCTGTGCAGGATGCATCCCTGCCATGGTGGCACTGAAGTGGTGTGGAGATGCTGAGGGATGCACAGCAGCACAGGGAAGTGATTCCTCACTGCGCTTTGGTGCAGATGCCAGAGCTTCCAGAAATAGCGATGTTGGGAGCAAAGGTGACTCATGGTGGTGGAGATTTGAGCCACTCACCTCGAGGTGCTGCCAAGGCCCGGTGACCCTGCTGTGCTGCTCAGAGCTGTCCCCTGGCTGCCCTTCCTCAGGGCCCTGCTGCTCTCTGCACTGTTGGCTGCTGTGCTGGGTGCTGTCAGGGCCCTGCGGGGACAAGCTGCCTGCAATGGGCATGAGAACCCATCCCAAGGTGGGGAAAAATCCAACCCCAACATAGGATGTTTCAGCTGGTGGCAGGCTGAACTTCCCATCCCCTCCCATCCCCTCCCCTCCCCTCCCCTCCCCTCCCCTCCCCTCCCATCCCATCCCATCCCATCCCATCCCATCCAATCCCATCCCATCCCATCCCATTTGTTCCATCCCATCCCTCCAATCCCATCCCATCCCATCCCATTTGTTCCATCCCATCCCATCCCTCCAATCCCATCCCATCCCACTCCGTTCCACCCCATCTCCATGCCCAGTGGAAGCAGCCCTGTGAACATCCCCAGGCTCTGTTGGTGCTCCCTTTGGGCTCAGGAGGATTTTGGTGCAGGGCAGAGGCACACAGGAGGCTGCTGGTAGCCTTAACCTGGCTGCAATTATATGAGTTTTGAAAATTTTCCTCTAAAACAAGTAGAAAATCTACATTTTCTTTCACTAGCATTCTTTGGCTGAAAAAAAAAAAAAAAAAAAAAAAATTAGGGCTTTGTAAGTGGGCTTTTTTTGGGGGGGTTAACAAGTTTTGGGGTGCAACGAGGCCCAGGGCAGGCATGAGGGGATGAGGGAACACCTCCAGCAAAGCCCCCCCTCAGCCCAAACATCTCAACTGTGGGCTCCAGCTCCATCCGCCTCCCATGTTGCCATGGCAACTGCTGCATCCCAGCCTTGGCGAAGCTGGGAGACGTCGGCTCAGATGGGAGATGCTGCAGGATGGGATGGGATGGGATGGGAGATGGAATGGGAAGGGATGGGGGGTGTTATGGGGATGGGACGGGAGATATGGGAGATGCTAAGGGGACGGGATGGGAGATGCTATGGGGACACACTGTGAGATGTTATGGGGTCAGGATGGAGATGTTATGGGGATGGGATGGGAGATGCCTGCACTGCTCCCTGGCTCTCTGGTGCTGCAGCACGAGGGGAAGCCGAGCTCCTCACTGAGCTGCTGCTCCTTCATAAAGGCCTCGTCTGAAAGATGAATAGAGGCTTTAATAAACAGTGAATGAGGTGCTGGTGGGCCCGGCTCCTACACCATCTGTAACACCTCGGGGGCTTACAGCCAGCCAGAACACTTCTAGAGCATGCTTATGGTGGATGTTAATTGTTTGCAACCCTGGAGGTACCACGCTGGAAGGAAACTTTGGCACAAAAGCTCACAGGTGAGGTGGGAGGGCTGCACAGCCCCTGTTCAGCTTCTAAATGCCACCCCCAGCACAGGCGCAAGCATTTGGGTCACCCTCATGTCCCACACCTCACCATCAAAGCCTGGGGCACGGGCAGCACTGCATCCCATTGCTGATAAGGGCTCCTCTGTGCCCACCCGGATCCCAAGGCTGAGTGCTGAGAGGGGAGAGCAGCTCTGAGAGCAGAGCCAGTGCTGGAGGAGGCAGCTCCTGTTGGAGGGTGGGACGGATATCAGACAGGTGGATGGATGGATGGACAGATGGATGGACAGGCAGACAGACGGACAGATGGAGAGGTGGAGCTCCAGTCAGGGAGAAGGGAATGGAGCAGGGATGGATGCTGCCTAAGGGCAGAGCAGGCACTGCAGCCCCAAACACCTCCGGGAATGGGTGCTCACAAACACACATCTCAGGTCTCTTTCCTGGGGCTGCACCTCACACAGAGCTTCTTCCTGTTGCTCATCAGCTCTCCTCTCACCGAAGCATCCATCTCCTCATCCTCCAGCCTTGCACCTACCCAGCCGCCCTGCTCCCAGTGCTGGGTAATGGTAAGTTGTGTTCCTGCATTCCCTCCCTCCAGCTCCTCCAGGCTGGAGAGGTGCAGCTCCCACAGCTCTGTGGGACTGGCCTGGCTGTGCCAACACCCGAGGGGCTCCCGAGGAGCTTTTCCCAGGAGCACAGAGCAGGGTGCAGCAGTGCCATGCTGGGCACAAGGCAGAAGGGATGGGAGAGATGAGGCCAGGTTGGGTGCATGAGCTGAGCAACCCGAGCAGCTCTGAGCTGTGCCTCACATCCAGACAAGCTTCAACACTGCGAGGTGTTGGTTGATGGGCTCTGGAGGACGAGCACCTCTGCATGGCCAGGATGGAGGAAGGATGGAGGGCCTGCACTTCCTGCTGCCAACCCAGTGAAGTCTGCCAGGTACAGCAGCTCAGCCCGGAGCAGCAGCACAGGACGCAGCCCCCAGCCCCATCCATGTGCTTGGCTGCTCTCAGGGAGCAGCGGTGCCATCGGCTCGTGGCCGTGTCAGCACTGGGTTCAATGTGCCCCAGTTCCGAAGGAGCTCAGAGCCGATATCTCTACCAGAGCCTCAACTGCTTTAATTACCCACATCTGAGTCATCCCCAGCTCTGCTTTATCAAAGCTCGCAGCCCTGCAGACAAATCGCCCTTTGTGCTCCTCCAGTCCCAGTCCACAGGGAATTGCCAAGTGCCAATTAACCAGCAGCTCCTGCTGCAGCGATGCCACGGGGAGATGAGATGAAGAGGGGCTGCTGCCCCCCCCCATGGCCTCAGCCCGGGTCGGTGGGGGAGGTGGCAGCTCCAGGATGCTGCAGGGAGCAGCAGCTCTGTGCCGTGCCACGTCCCCGTGGAGCCCTGCATCCTCCAGTGCCCCTGGGTGGATGGATGCAGCCGGGGGGTGAAGGCAATGCCATGGCCAGCGTGTGCCTCCAGGGCCAGTGTGCGTGTGCTCCTTCCCCTCTGCTGGGAGTGCAGTGTGAAATCGGCAGCAAGGATGACCTAAAATCGTGCAGATGCTGCTGCAAGCAGCAGAGCAATGGCACAGCTGTGCTGCAGGGTCAGAGCTGGGCAGGGAGCTCTGCGTGAGCACAGGGAGCCTTGGAGCTCAAGGAGGGGCTGGGATACAGTGCTGCATAGGGCTGGAGCAGGAACTGCTTTCTGGGGGGTGAATAATGTAAATATTACAAAAGAAAAACCCACAAAACAACATCATTCCAGCCCAAATCAAATGCACACATTCAGTGTTTCAATGCCAGGTGGCACCTGCTTGCAGAGCTGCTTCATTCAGCTGAGTTGGGGTGGAGAGGGGACGTGAAAGTGGAACATCTGAACACTGCACTCCGGTTGCTCATTCATTTTGAGTTCTTCCTCGTTGTTGGCACTCGCGTGCCATGGCACTGGGCATCACATAAAGCCACAAAGCAGGCCTGGTGCACGGGGACATCAGCTCTGTGGGAATATATAGGATGGAAGGAGACGAGGTGAGAGCTCTGCTTCCCCACACCCAGTGCAGGGTGGGGAGGGGACACGGCCCTGCAGGACCCGAAGGAGTTAACATCGAGTGCCACCTCCTGTATGTTATCTCCTCCATTGAGGCAGCTCCATGCTGGCAGCAGAACAATGCCAAATTCTGATGAGCTCTGGTTTTCCAGCTAGAGGGGAGGCACGGGAGGGTGGGGAATTAATGCTATTCTGCATAATTTTTAATCTAAATTCCATTTCTTTTCTTTTCTTTCTCTAGGAAGCAAACAATCTAGGGGGTTTTGTACTCAATTCCTTGCTTTCATAAGCTAAATGGATTGTTTGCAAGTAGGAGCCAGCTGCAAAGCTGGCAATCTCCAATCGGATCTGCCTTTCTCCTCATTCCAGCCATCCTTAATTCACTCCTCAGCTCCAA